TTCGGTGGAATTGTTCCATCGTCCGTCTTGGAGACGTTCATTGTGTCCAGCCATTATAAAATAAGAAGCATAAAAGGAACTATTGGACACGTTTCTCTAAAGACACGAAATTCGAACTATATGAGCAAACTTGGCACTAAGCCAAGTTTGGAATATCCTTAAGGACAGAAATAAAAATCATTTATGAATATAAAAATTTAAATAAAAGAGAAACAGAACAATGGATATCTTATATAAAACAACTTTGCAACACCTACAGAAGCAGAAAAAAATGATGATAAATACAACATAGTAATCACAAAAGAAGAAATTGAGCATAGACTCTCACACTTGGACTCCCACAATTAGAAAAAAACTAAAACGCGCATAAAAATGAAACGAGAACTTACTAGAGCAAGTCATCGAAAACCACAGAGGCCTAAAATGTTATAACACTATGTAGTTCTCTTCTTAGAGTGCCGTATCCCTACGGAGGTTGGCAATCATAATGGCTATTTTTATTTTAGAACTTGCTGCTCTAAACAAATCAATCGATCTGCATTGATACCAACCACGTGGATTCTTTAACCATGAGTTCTGCCTTCGGCCAACAGATCTTCTTCATTGAATCTTTCCCTGTATTATGAGTCTCAAAATTTCATATTTTGGACTCCTCATCACGTGGTCTAGGTATTCCAGTTTTCTGGTTTGTATAGTGGTGATTAGTTAAGTTTCTTTACAACCCTCTCCAGTACGTCTTTATTTGTAATTCTATCAGTCCATCATGTTTTTATTACTCTACGGTATAACCAGAGTTCGAAACCATCGATTCTTTTTAAATTCCATTTTTTTAATGACCAAGTCTCAGCTCCATATAATAATATTGAAAATATATAACAGCGAATGGTACGTAGTCTGATCTCCAAATTTAGATTTTTGTAAGTTATGAGTGGCTTCATTCGTATAAATGCTGATCTGGCCATCTCTATTCACTTTATTTATTTCTGCCGTATGATAATTGGTTTCATTGATCAAAGTTCCCAAGTACTGATATTTTTCTACTTGTTCTATCACGTTACCATTGATTGTCAATAGGTGATGTATATTTTGTGGTCTTTTTGTAATTAGCATGTACTTCGTTTTTTTAGCGTTTACAGTAATTTCCATCTCAGCACTACTCATACTCAAGCTTTAGATAAGATGTTGTTGAGCCTCTATACTAGTTGCTATGATCGCAGTGTCGTCTCCATATCGTAAGTTGTTAATTAATTTTCCGTTAACGGTGACTCCCGCTTCGATATTATTGAGCGTGTTTTGGAAAATTTCTTCAGAATATAAGTTAAGCAAGAGTAGCAATAAAACACATCATTGTCTAATTCCTTAACAGATCTTCATTTCTTCTTAGTGTTGTCCATCAATTTGAACTATGGCACGTTGATTCCAATATAATATTTGCACTATATTTATGATTTTATTGTAAATGCGCTTATTCGTAACTATATTATAGTAAAACTTAGATATTGAAAAAGAAACTAATGTATTAGAAAAAAACCAAGGTGAGAGATGTTCCAGAGTTAGTGGTAAACTAAAAAAATCGTATAAGCAGATAGTATTTTGGCGATCATGACCATACTTATGACTAGGTGTGGAAGTAAATGGCAAGTGGTACTATTTATTTATATATTGCATAGCATTTTTTAACGAAAATATTCTGAAATATTATTTCCTTACTAACTCTGATTTTTATAAATGCAAATTTTGCTATTTAAATTCGGATCTTAATCTCTACATCAGGATCCCATTTATAATAAATGATTTATTTTTTATTAAATAAAGTATTTCGTTTTTGTTTATGACCAAAACGGAACATATTCCCATCAAATCTGTAGTTTTATGTAACTTTATAAACAATATCAATTCAAGTCATTTTGAGAAAGTGGTTGAAGTAAGTACCTAAATACTTTAAATCGTTTACAGTTTAGAACCTACACAAGAAAACTAGAGCGTACTCTTTAAAATAAGAAAACACTTCTTTTTTGATGATGATATGACCTGTGAAACAAGAAAGAAAAATTTGACGACTAATAGTTAGAATTTAAGAAACTACGAAGAAATATCAATCTCCTTATAATAAGCATAACACAGATTAAACAAAAATACATGGAAATATTGTATCTTCCGGTATGAATTTATTTATAATAAAGTTAGTTTTATTTGAAGGGTACAGGGCCAAAAGGAGGCAAGTCGCAATTTTTCATAAATAGATCTAGTGGTGCCATCTTGTAGCAATTTTAACGTAGAAGTGGTCAGCGACTGGTTACACGTCCTAAAAGCGCTTAGTTCCCGTGAAATACTAATTCTAATTTACGCATACACCACCAATAGGGGGTAAGTCCTTATCAGGCAGGTCCTAAAAGGGTAAAGTCCATATAAACAGCTAATAGACGTTAATCTAATACGCGCAGTTTAGAGTTAGGTTCGTCGGTTTAGTTTGTTTTCATTGTTTTTTAAGTGATTTAAAAGTAAATAACAATGAATACAGAAAACAATAGTAGTGGAAATGAGACTGAAGTAGTGCCTAAACAGAATGAATAAAAAAAAAGGAAAAAGCACGGCAGAATGAGAGATGTCATGAAAAAAATTAGACTGTAGAGTCACGAGGTAGGTGCAACCTGTAATTGTCGTAAACAATGTTTTGAAAATGTGCCCGAAGAAGCAAGGAAAAACTGTACTCAAAAATTTTAACACAATGACTTCTATTAATGAGCAGAACTCATACTTATGTGGATTGATTACAGTACTGCCTATTCGCCGAAGAAGGCCTAGGAAAGATGAAAACGAAGCAAATTTGAGAAGTGCTGCATATTCTTACAGGGTACATTTTAGCACTGATAATAGCTTAAAAGAAATAAATATTTGTAGACAAGCTTTTATGTCTATTCATGGAATAAAGAAAAAAAAATAGAGATATTACAAAATTCACTAAAAATGACTGGAGTCGCCCCTAAAGATAAAAGGGGAAAAAATAAAAACCATCCTAGAAAACTGGAATCCAACGTTCTTGTAACAATATACGAACATATAAAGTCATTTAAAGGCAGGAAAAGCCACTATAGTGTGAATGATAGTAAAAAATTATACTTACCTGAAGAGTTAAACATAAAAAAGATGTTCAAAATGTTTTGCGAGTTGAACCCTTCTATGAAAATATCTTATGAGTCTTACAGAACAGTCTTTAATACAAAATTTAACATAGCCTTTGGATATCCCAGAACTGATACATGTAGTTCCTGTGATGAGTTTCTTATAAAAATAAAATCTCTTCAGTCTGATATTTTAAACAGTAGTTTCGATATTGCTGAAAATGAACGCTTGCAAAAGGAAATACGCCAGCTTACGATACAAAATGATGTACACAAAAGAAAGGCTGAGGTATTTTACAGTAGAAAAAGAGCTGCGAAGAAAAAAACTCGAACCTCTGTGACTCACGAAGCTATTTGTCTCGATTTTGGAAAAAATCTCAGTGTCCCAAACATAACAACAAACGATGTTTACTATAAGAGCCAGCTGAACGTCTATGCCTGTAATGTCCACATTCTATCTACAGCAAAAAGTGTGTTTTACATTTACCCCGAAACAATTGGCAAAAAGGGAAGCGACGATGTATGCTCAATGCTGAATGACTTTCTTTGCAATTTTCTCGATATACAAATAAGATCGCTTGAAATATTCTGCGACTCATGTGGGGGACAAAATAAAAATTTCACCATGTTTCGTTTTTTGCATTATATTGTCCACAATACACGTAGACTTGATTATGTTAAAGTTACTTTCCCTATTCGTGGCTATTCCTATATGGAACCGGATAAAAATATGGGCTTAATAAACTCCAAACAACGAGCTGAGATTCCTTTAGATTGGGTTGAAATTTTTAGAAGTGCTCGTGCAAAACCATCGCCCTTTGACGTTGTGGAAATAGATCAATCCTACTTTCGAGCATGGACGAATTTTTTTAATACGAAAACAGATTATTTGAAGAAATATCCTTTCAGTTCCCGTCCAATTCGAGAACTAGAAATACATCAAGATCATCGTAGATTGATATATTACCGGGAGTCCTATAATGGAGCATGGGAGTCAGCAATAGTGAAGGAAAAAGATAGTAAGCGAAAGGGACCAGTGCTACTACAAAATGAATTTGAACTTCCTCCGTATTCTTATTCGGGTATAAAAAATTATTAATATCTTATTATTAAACAACATTATTTTTAGGTCTTTTACCAATCTCGGCTAAAAAATTTAAATGACTACAAGATTTGAAACGATTCTGTGGTGACGAAGCAAAACAATTTTTTGATAACCTGCCTAAGAATTAGAATTATTTCATATTAATAGCTTTTGTCTACTTGTCATTTTAACTTGTTTTTTTGGACTTGGCCCCTTTAGGCCAATAATGTTTGGTGGTTTGACCAATTAAAGCTTCTGTTCTATTTTTTATAATATCAATATAAATTTAATTTCTTCTGTGTGTTTCATTAATTATTTAAGTAACTGATCTAATCAATAGAGGTCATGATAACCATCAATAATTTATCAATAACTGGTTTTAAAATTTAAACTTCGTTTTGTACGAAATAAACATTTGGTGACTTAGCTCTTTATGGACATGTACCCTTCATTTGGTAGTAATACTACTACTGTAGTATTAGGTCTACTTAAGAGCGTAGGCAAACAATTTCGGGCCAATGCTTTTTAAATGCATTCATTTTTTTTCGAATCCTGAGAAAATTAACAAATATTTTTGAAAAATTTAAACGCTGTAAATGATTAAAATAACCATTATAGTAGATTTCAGGTACTTACAGCCATCAGTAATAACGCATTCTTTTGACATTAAATCTACGTTTTGGTGGAATTGTTTTGGCTACGTGAAATAGAAATTTTAAGGGAAAGGGCAAAAGGCAAACAATATAATCGCATAAAAAAGAAGCAAGTTTTCATCACAGAAAATCGAAACTTACCTGGTGTGGATCGAGCTACAATAAGGATGGAGAAATCCTTTGGAAAACCATTTGGAAAATAGTCCTCAGTTTCAAGTGAAATTTGGGTTTTCTTACTCCATCTAAAAATATATTTTATTATTTTATTATTTAAAAATTTTATTGCAATTATAATTTCTTGTTATAAGAAAGCAATTAAATTGAAAATATCATCACAGCTTCTTATAAGTAAAAATTTTGGTATATTTTTTTACAGCAAATTAGCACAAATACACAGAAAAAGATACAGATACAATAGACGCTACAGTAAAAATTAATAAATAAATAAATAATAATAAACTGGAATTAATAATAAACTAGAATTAAAAATCATGTCATAGTAATTTAACTGATAATAATTGTATTTATATGCAATTATTTTAAAACGAGAAATGTCATAAAAATTTAAACAGATTATTTAATATTTTTAATAATGGGATGACATTTATGACTTTTAAATTTTGAAAATCGTTGCAAATTGAATTTTTTATTAAGAAATATTCTTTCAGTTTTTTACTCCCCATTTTATGTCCCTATTTTTAGTTATTTTTATGCAATGTTTGCCTTATATTAGTACTTTTATTATTATTAGTATTTTTATTTATTATTAGTATTAGTATTTAGATATTAGTACTTTTTGACTTACCCTGTATTTGATTTAACGAATGTTATGAAAACGAATATATTTTATAATTTTTAACAATTATTTAAAAACTATGGTTGCAATAGATCAATGTTTTTGTACTCGTTTTTAATTATACAGGGAGTTAAAATTAATACGATTTTCAAGTAATATCGGTTATAACTTTTTAAGTACCTAGTATAACACAATAAAACTTTATATTGTTGTGATGTGTAAGTCAAGCAGATTTTAAATTTGAAATAAAATACAGGGTGTTCCGTTTAAAAAAACATACGTTTTTTAAAACATAACACCCTGTAAGATTGTAACTAATTTTAAAATATGGAGTATAAAGCTGCCTACAATTTTTGTCAATACCTTTATTTGTATTTTTTACTATAACATATTTAGTGAGCTTCCTCACACTAATCAATCACCTTGTATATGATGACTAGAAACGAATTAATCGAGGGTAGTAAAGCGATGAGAAAAACCGCTATTTTGTAACGCTACCCATGACGACGATATCTTGTGAACGAGCTCAGCATTTTACTATATAGAAAAAAGTAATACAAGAACTGAAGAGTGAAGCAGTAAAACTCATCAGCAGTCTTGGACTTACTACTTGAAACACATGAACGCGCTGCATGGAACCCAGCAATATCCGACAAACTGAGGGATCTCACAAACTGAGTTTGTTAACTTCTATCGTGCATAGATATACGATACGAGAAGATGTTAAGAAGGAGAATCGATACTATCATTGAAGCCAAGAGGCAGCATGGTTTCAGAAATAACAGTAGCATGAAAGTCTTCCGAGAACTGCGAAGGGCGGAGAAGGAATGTTTTATGTCCGGAATGCTTTCTCAATACCTTAAAATTGAAATAGACTTTATGAGTGAGAAGTGTTCTATGTATTTTATTAATGTAATTATTTATCAGAGAAAAAAATAGTGGTAGAAAAAGAAGTGGTGATTAACGTGACGGTTGGTCACGCTGGGAAACAGAGAAGCCGTATATTAGATGCGCAGTGTACAGGCAGCCAAGTTAAAGATTGGACTATACCTGGATGCGGATAAAACTGAAACCATAGTTCTCAATTAACAACAGAAAAAGGAACGGAATGAGATTAGAATGAGCAGAAATGGAAATGGTTACAAAACAATTCGAGAGAAACTTAAGTATGTCTCTGAGTCAAAACGAAAGTTGGTAACTTGTAGAGCTACAATGAGATTAGAAGGCTACGAGGATCAAGCATAACATCGGAAAGCTCATTATTCTGATAAATTCTCGGATAAATCAGTTCTGACAAAGCCATATAACACCCAAGCAGCTATAACGAGTCTGTTAGGGATGGTATGTGCATTGTGCATACAAAATAATGACTACCAAGGTCCTGACAGTTAAGACCAGGTGTACTTCGATGCAGATGTTAGTGAAGAAAAGAAAAATAATATACAAAGAAAATAAATAAATAAACAGCAAGGAAATTTTTAAAATATAAGGTTTACTATATTGTGACAAGGGGAATGAGACGCGGTGGGGAGGAAGTCACTCATTTTGAATCTGAGAAGTTGGATAAACTGCGGGCACATGCGTTTGGATTACTCCGTAATGCAGATGGTCATATCTTATGAATATTTTATCCAAATAGAGCAAAATAAAGTTTCGTTGAAAAAATTTGTTCAAATGAAAATAATATTTTTTAAACATTTTTCTAAAATGGACTTTGGAAACTATTTTTAATAGATTTATATAGATAGTAGTATATGGACCAGTATCTCCTAAAAGTTTTGGCACGAAATATTTATCGGATTTTGTTGACGGAATTGAGGGATGAACATGAAGTCCTGGACGAAATTCAGATGAATTTGTCTCAGTTTTTCGCAAATTCGCCATCTTAACTGTCCTTCATCTTGGGCTTCCTTGCTTCTTTCCTCTTCCTAGAAAGTTAAGCTCAAAAATGCTTTATTTGATAAGTTTGGCAGGTTTAGAGAATTCTCGGTTTGGGAATAAAAGATATGTGGAATGTCAAATCTACTTTTAGGTATCTCTTGAGTAATGCCATGAGGCTTCGTCTGAAAAAAACATGATATCGTCATAAGCTTAATGTTTGTGGACAAACTAAAGCAATTTAGCTATATCTAGCAGTTATATAGATCTTACTATTCAAAGCTTCAACCCTCAGTCTTCGCACAAAAGGTCGAGATACATCCCTGATAGAAATTGCGCAGCAGATATGGATTTTATCTGCAAATTTCGCTCTATGTTTATATCTAATATTGTCTGGGCATCCTTTTATGTTCGTATAAAATCCATCGTTTCCCTTCCTTTCAGAATTACTCAAAATAAAATGTACCCGTCTCAGTTGACGACAGTACCTTGATATACAAAAAAGTTATTCTTGAGAGTATTTGGAGCACTTACATCACTTTCGACATTTAAGACCATTCCTCCTCAATATCAACGATAGCGTACTGTTAAAAGATCTGCATTTATGAGTCAGTCTCCTTAACATTCCAACCTGATTTTTTGCTCTTCTCTCTGACCTTTATGCAATAAATGCACGTGGTCTTTCACTTTTTAGGAGATTCAGACCTGGTATTCCCAGCTCGCACCTCGCTATTGTACTATGGTATGGTTCTCCGTGAAATGTTTTGATTCTGAAATATTTGACAGATTTCAGCTTTGGGTATCCTCTCAACCAACTTGTAGATAATTTTTCTTATCTCTAATTTATACATCTTACAGCAAATACTTCTAAATAAATAAATCTCAACTGACAGTAAACAAAGTAAATTTACTTTTGTGTGCAAAGACAGCTTCACATAATGTTGTTTTTGTTAATATTAGAACCAATGAATTTCGTGCCAAAGCTTTTAGGACATACATTTAATGACCATTTGTCAGATATGCCGAATTTAAATAACTTTGGTTTTCTATCTATTCTAATAATCATGTGCGCAGTTTACCATCATTTTACTAGACTTACCTATAAGCTATCACTGATGATGGTGAGATCAAATTATTTGTATTATTTATACACCTCCCTGCAACCAATGTAATTTTTTGTTCTTGATCACGTAGTTTGGATATTTTAAGTAAATCTACAACGCCATCTAAAAATATAAAATAAATACAAATTAGTATAAATATATAACAGCATTGTTTATTAACAGTTAGAACGAGTATTAGTTAAACGAAAAAACGTGCGTATGATCGAATAATTATACTCATTGTAACGACTTACAGAAAATTATTTAAACATGAAGGCTAAGATGAAAATATCGCCAGAAAAAACCAAAAGTGTAGTAACATTAAAAGAACCAATAATATACAAATAAGTGATTAAAAACAAACTGGTAGCACAAGTATTGGAATTTAAATAATTGGAGTCAATTTATTATGTGAAATTAATATCGACAAAAAAAAAACAAGTGGTTAAAGTAAGTAGAACAGCAGGATGCCTTAATGATGCAACATAGAAAATTAAATAGCTGAACTTCGAAACAAACCCGTCATAGACAAGGTGTAAAAGCCAAATGGAATAAATTCATTATTAAGGTTACTGTACATATTTATCAAAAATCCCTTAAACCCCCTCTGTGGCTCAGTGGTAAGAGCGCCTACCTTTAAACGTAAAGGTCGTGAGTTCGAATCTCACCTGGGTGGAGAAATTTTCGTTTATTAAAAAATTATTAAATAAAAATAATTTCTATCCTTGTGCGATCGGTACTCACCGGAGGGACCGCAGACGTTCGGATACAACTAGCGTCTCTTAGCAAAGACAATGACGTCGACTTTTCTAAGTATCAAGACAATTACTCTACACCTACACACACACACACACACACACACACACACACACACACTACACTAGGTACCTGACTGTAAAAATTCACTGTACCATGCCAATGACCATTAGTTGTCGACGCATTAAACTAAATAAAAAAAAAAATCATCCCGAAACACGTCAAATTTAAATTATAACTTGACATTCTTTAACGTGAAAATGCAACCCCTACCTTCAACCCCCTTAGAATGACAGGTACAACCCCCAATTTTTAAAATAGGAAGTATAGGCTTGTGATATATCGTTTGAAAGGTCTTTTCATTCTCCATTCAAAAATGTCATTAAGATAAATTATAATTTTATATAATTATATAATTAAGATAAATTCGCTAAAATATACTCAAAACTATTTAACGCGGAGTCAAACCAGGAAAACAACTGAAATCATATATATATATATATATATATATATATATATATATATATATATATATATATTATTGTGATATTCAAAGTCTTAGTGCGCCACGCAATTAATTAGCTAATTAATTAATTAATTAATTAAAATTATTTAAATGATATGATTATGATTCTATCACACTTTTTAATTCTCTTATCTCAGGGTTATATTCGTGCTTCAATATCTATGCTTCACATAAGAAAGGTAAGGTCCAAAGAATACAGGAATAATAAAAAAAAAACATATATGATATAACACTATATATTGAAATAAAAATAATGAAATAAAATTCACACTCAAATGTTTTCAATAAACAAAATCTCATAAAATGATTCTCAAAATTTTGTTCTACGTACGTGAAACTTCAAAATTAATGGTACAAATAATATAAATTAAAATCTTAAAATCCCAATTATTATTCTAAAAACTTAGTAGTTGTAAAAATTTTGTTATCAATAAAAGAAAAACTGCAGAAAAACAAAACTATCTCTCTCTGATTATGAGTGGTCCAAATCTTTGTTCCTTGTAGCCTATACTATCTATTCTTAGCAGCTCCCTAAGCAATCAGCAATCTTACAACAAATTGTTGCAAGTTTATCGTCCTTAATGATCTCCTTCAAATGCACGAATCATTCAAATTATGCTAGTCTCTTCTCCTCTCGATAAACTGAATCTCTCGTTGGCCTAAGTGAAAAATGACTCTTGGAATATCTTCTCTTTACGATAAACTGAATCTCTCGTTGGCCTGAACAGTGAGTCTTGGAATATAAGTAGAAAAATATGACTTACAATATTTTGCTGGATCAGCTTCTGTCAGATACACTAACTCCACAAAAACTCACTAACATTCAACACTACTGCTTGCTACTTCTCGGGAACCACCAGAGAACAATGACTGTTCGCCTTGCACACTTGGAAAACCACCTGACTATCTTTTTTTCTTCAAAAACTAACTAAAGTCTCATTCTCAAACCAACCATCCCACCTTTTTCAATCTCATCCAATCAAAACGTGTCATACTTCTCCCATTTCTTCATTTCGATAACACAAACAAATTTTTACCTACAATTATAAAATTTCCGAACATTATTTATAAACTAATCTTTTTCTACCAATTCTTAAGAACTAACAAAAACATATCTTTCTAAAATCTATTCTATTGTCCTAATTACTGCACAAATTTATTTGGAAAACCCGCTTCCATTGTCTAGGATTTCACTTCAGCTTATTCACGTCACACAAATATATTTTAACAAAGAAAATAATTTCTGCATATCTTACGTTTTGTTCAATATAGGTAATCAATAAAAGGACTTTCATTCTTCGAAATGTTTGTTGTTTATTATTTTACTTATCTGAATTATTTTAATTTTTTTTAACTTTGAAATATTTTAAGCAAACCAATTTTTTTCTCGATTTTACATATCATAACAATATATATATATATATATATATATATATATATATATATATATATATATAGTTATTAGTTTCTGACCGATTGGGTCGTTTGGATGTTCAAATCCCTTTTATTAAGAGGTATGTGGATGATTTATTATTAGCCCTACCACCTGACAAGGTTCAGGGTACCTTATCCTTCTTTAATGAGTTTGATCCTCATTTACAGTTCACTGTTGAACTTGAGGACAGCATCACCAATAGCATTCCCTTCTTAGACATGCGTGTCATTAGAATGGGAGATAACACCCTAACCACAAGTTGGTATAGAAAACCCATGGCCTCAAATAGGTTCCTTAATTACCACTCCTGTCACCCTATGAAGTATAAACTAAACCTTATACAAGCTTTAAGCTGCAGATTACATAAATTGACACATCCAATTAATCGAAGGGAATCCCTTAAGTTATTAAGAAATATTCTAATACAGAACTCATATCCATCATCAATCATAAACAAATACCTTTACACACAAAGCTATGGTTCCTCGTTTGATGACATACCCAATGGTGACCAACTCAGAACTATTTCAAATAACTCAATTAATAGCATTGTTCTGCCTGATACTGAGTCTGAGAATCCTATTATCCATTACTCTTCTCTACCTTATTTTCCTCAAGTTACTGAGAAACTTATTAAACTGTATAAACAAAATAACATTCCTGTTAAAATTGCTGTCAAGAACGCAAAAACTGTTAGAAATCTTTTTTCAAAAACTAAAACACCATTGTCTACTTTAGAACAAGTCAATACAATTTACCACCTTCCATGTTCTGACTGTGAATTGTGCTACATTGGCCAGACCGGTAGATCTTTAAAAGGTCGTCTTACTTCCCATCGTAGTGATATTAATTTATCAAAAAATACGTGTGCTCTCGCACATCATGCTATTAGCACCAAACATAAAGTGGATTTTAATGAAGTTAAGATTCTTGGCACTGAACGTAATCTATTTAAAAGACAGTTTTTAGAAATGTGTTCAATTCTTAAACATCCTAATTCTCTAAATAAGAGAACTGACATAAGTAACTTGAGCCAAATTTATCATGCTCTAATATTGCAGAACTAGGCTTTACTTTCTTTTTCAATATAATTATCATGTAATATACATATTTGAACACAAAATTTTTCATTGAATAATATAACATAGTAAATAAATAACTAATATAAAATAAACTATAACACTCAATTCTTTATAGCAATTACTTAAATATAGGCAACTTTCATTACAAGGTTACCTCTACATTATAATTTGTCCATATGAGTGTGAACCAGTCACTATTTAATAGTATAGTAATAATATTAACATTGTAATTGATTCATAGAATCCTTTACAAATTACAGATCTAAGTGTATGAAGCTTAGACTGTTGGAAATTATCTAATTGTTATTCACCTGTTGGCAAAAATTTCTTTCAGCCACAATGTTTAACATAAATTTAAATATAAGAGTTTGGATGAAATTCTCCTGTTTGTTTGTTTTTAGACGGGCTAATGCGAGTGATTGTTATTACTATATCAGTCTCTTTCATTGGATTGTCTCTTACAAGCGGGCTGTCATCCAAAGCTCATTAACTTTTAAATAAACCGCTCAATTATTTGAGGTGGTACCTCTGACCTTGCTGTTCTGTTGAAATAATTTCAACCTCAAGGTTGGCTGTCTTTTCGTAGATCTGTGTCAGTCTGTTCAATCTAACGCCATTTTCCTGGTAGCAGGTGTAAGGCTTAGACCGGTAACTTCATTCTTTTACACTTATTTTATTTTTAAATTATATTAACATCTTTTAATAATGCTACCAAAAGTTAAAATTAAAATTTAATAATTATCTATTGTTGGAAGTTAATCGTTGATTTTCTTAGTTCTTTGCATCAACTACGTTATAATTTAACATATATTTTTTATACTTTTGACCACATGGTCACTCATTGTGCTAATTTTTTAATAAGTCACTAAATGTTGTTAGTAAATTAAATGTTTATACATTTCTACTTTATATTGTCCATTTATTCAAGTTTAATTCATAAGCTTGTTAACATCTTTGACTGCTACATGTCTTTTTAAGGTAACACCTGTAACATCTTTTCCATGATTGTGTGGTTCTTATATTATACTTTTTAGAATGAACTGATGATGCTTTCAGAATACGAAAGCGAAACGTTTTCAAAATAGATAGAGTGGCACATCAACTTTGTCTTTCATTTCTCCACCTACAAATTGACCGATATAAGAGCCCACCACTCTGTTGAGTGATCCTTTTATATATATATATATATATATATATATATATATATATATATATATATATATATATATATATATATATATATATATATAATATACATATATATTAATAAGATCCCCAAATTTTAAATAAAAATTAAAAATTACAAGACCATTAAAGAAAAATC